AAGATCTAGATATAGAAATGATAGCATTACTAAATAAAATACAGTTTTTCTGACTCAAAAACTAATGCGGCATTATTCGATTAATTGCACAATGGTAAATTTTTTATTGACAGCTAACTAAAAATTAAAGAGCGTCAATCTTTTATCAAAAAGCAAAGCTACTTAAAAAATTCTTACATCTTATCTCTCACATCTGTTACTTTGGAATATTTAAAGGAATAAAAAAGAAGTCGGCTTGCTTCGCCTTGGTATCTCCCTGAATGTTTCCTGGACATCCCGGATGTCCCTGGATGTATCCTTTAAAGATAGTTAAAAGAATTACTTACCTATTTTTTCTACAGCTTTTTAATAATTAGTTCAGGACACTGAAACCCCATATTACCTTCTTGGTAAACCTACACTCAAAAAAATAATTTAGTTGATTTAACTAGATTTAAACAAAATGATCAGATCAATTTAACTAGCATGTGGTTAGAGCATATTTTTCTGGGTGTAGCTCTAACACAACAATACCTAAACTAACAACTCTTTTAAATTTTCATACTTAATACTTTTATTATCTCTAATACTGTTATGCTTAAAGTTAAAAATACATAAAAACAAAATATAAAAATGTATTAGAAGAATATTTATTTTCATTAATTAAATAATTAGAAAAAATAAATAATTAAATATTTCTCTATGGCTGCCCAGCTTTAGCTTCTAGATGAAAAAGATTTTCAGGGAAGCTCATTTTTTTGACAGTTTATCAAACTATTCAACTGCAAGTACAAAGTATCTGTAAACTACATTAACTTCACAGTATGGATTCAGTTTTCCTTTTTATCTCTTTTAGTCTCTTGCAAGGATTGTGGTAGTAAAACAGCAAATAATAGCTAATTGTGAGTAATGGAAAGATATCTACTGCCCTTCCACTATAACAACTAACTAACTACATAAATTGTACATAGTGGTGTATATTTGCATTGTAATAAGATATACTTTAATTTATTCATAATTATAACTTTATTATCTCTTTAATACTGCAAAAGATTATTTGAAAATGTTTGACCAACAATTATATTAATATTTGCAATAATTTGTTCAGAGTTCAACCCTGATTAGGAAACTTTTCCAAAGTTTTTATTTAAAAATATGTACTGAATAGCTAATTATTAAGTTAAAATTACGAGTGTAGCTTATTGAACTTTGGTTGCAAAAACTTTTTCATCAAATTCAAATTTTAAATTTGTTTTAAATTAATTCCAAGTATGCAGACATTTTTACTTAATGCCTGATTTATTGCCCTTTCATGCCTTAAATACTTCCACTTCGAAACAACAAAGAAGCTGAACATTTTAGGGATTCACTTGATAAGTGCACGTCAGGATAATTAATTTTAAATATTTTATAAATTAGTTCATTAGAGGGAATTGCCTTCACAGGCACTGCGAGCTCTGCTTCTTCTGCTTAGCTACCTGAAAATATGCTAAAAAAATTTGTGAAGTATTTTGCTGTGAACTCCCTCGTTGCCACTCCCTACAATGATTCAATTTAAAAGTTAACTGAGTTCACGTGAAATTCTGAGATATTTTTTCTAATTATTTTTTGCAAATGTTTTTCTTTTTTTTGTTTTTTTGTTGTATTTTTCGAATTCTTGCATTGATTGAAGTGTGAAATTTTTGCAATCCACTTCAATGTAATTAAGCTGGAGTGGAATTTATCTACTCGTCAAAGTGTTGGGTGCTTAGCTTGATTGCTCTCAATTTTACGATAAGCACAACAATTCAATAGATCTTCCATTCATTTTTATTGTTCACGGCTTTAAAAAGATACGAACTGTTGACGTTGTGTGAATACATTTAGGTACGCGTTTGTATCTGTATCCACAACCGCTGTTAATATGCAATATGTTCGAGCATATGTAAGAGTAAATAATGAAGTGTAAATACTTTTAGCATCGCTGATACACGTTTATATTCTGCATATTGTACATATTCTTTTTCAAATTGAATTCATCAAAGCTTTGAGATACAAATTTGCCTGATGCGTAGATGCTCGTATCTTTTTCGAAAAACATACAAACTTGGAAATAAGATTGAGATACAAAGAAACTAAATAAGCTTTTGTGTGCTGTGACAAAGAAATAATTTGTTTTGAATGGAAAAAGTTTTAAATGTGCAGAATGTTTTTATATGCATATTTTAATAAAGTATTGTGAATAAAATATTAAAAGAAAATTTCGTTATAAAGTGGCTATTAAAACATTTTATTCATATAAAAAATGTATTAAATTTCCTATTATTCTTTTTCATGAGAATTTTATATAAATTATTTGAATATAAAATGATTTAAACTACAATTTTAAACTAGTGCTCATAAACTGTAATTACTTAATAAGCTGCAGTTAAACATAATTTTTTTAAACAATTTTACTACCAAAGGCTGCAAGATTTATTATTCATAAATTATAAAAATAATCCATTTAATTCCAGATTTATTTTTTTACATTTTTATGTGTACCTGCCAGCCCTTTACTCTCTTTCATGTAATTCCTTTCAATTTTCACATTTTCTTATAAATTTTTAATGAACGAAAGATAAAAAATCATCATAATTAACTTTAAAAATTCTTTTTAATTCGTAGATATAATTGACTTTGCTGCTAATTAAATAGCAAAAAAACTCATAACAAATGCCAAGGCAACTTAAGGCACGGGATCCACAAAGGAGTAAAAATTCAGCAAATTATGTTAGTTGGTAAGTTAAAATATTGCTTTTTCTGCCTTAAGCAATTTTAGAAATTTATTAAATCGACCACAGTGAATGTAAAAGCAGGTATTATTCTTTCTATTAAATCATTCATTTTTGATTTACTTTAAACATTAAAACTATATAAAACGTAATACGTTATGAATTAAATATAAAATGTTTATATTGGAGACACCCGTCCTAATACAAATAAGAATATACCCACTCTGAGACATATTGTGCACATTGTATTGAGCTGAAATTTACATAGAGAGGCAATTAAAACTAATTAAATCTTCAATCTTAACACAATTAATACTTTCTATTATAATTTCATATGCTTTAAACGATGTGATCCCCCAGATTAAGTTAAGGAACTTCAATAAGTCCACCGTCCTGTTCTCTGTGAAGAGCACTTTCAGAAAAATTTGGTCTAACCACATACTAGGTAAATTGGCCTGATCATTTTGTTGGAAAAATTTAAGCTCATATCGTAAAAAAGAACAATCGTAATTCCATATGCTTCAAACGATGTGATCCCCCAGATTAAGTTAGGGAACTTCAATAAGTCCACCTTCCTGTTCTCTGTGAAGAGTACTTTCAGAAAAATATGATCTGACCACATACTAGGTAAATTGGCCTGATCATTTTGTTGGAAAAATTTAAGCTCATATCGTAAAGAACATATGAAAATCAATATGTGATATGATTGAACCAACATGATGCGTCTAGTAAAAATGTTTTAAGCTGAGATTTCGTTAAAATCTGGTTAATTCAACCAAATTATTTTTCTGTGTATAGTGACAACAATCACCTATATTTAAAAATCGCTTAAACTGTAAGTGATTAATAGATTAAACCGCCTGTATATTGAACTAGATCCTCTAAAGTCCATTTGTCGCTATATCATATGCCACCGAGAAGGTATCAAAGCAATAGCACAGTAAGCAAATGACTGATTATTAATAAGCTTAGCTAAAACAAACACATTTTTTTTAACTAGTGATCTTCTATCCCATTTAATTCAACCAAAAACTGATCCCACACACAGATATAAGAACGATGGTATATAAAAAATCTTATATGTCAATTAAAATTTTAATAAGCTCTAACAGAAGTAATATGTTATTCTAACAGTTTTACCATTAGTTATATAGTACTTAAAAATGCTTCCATGATCAGCTTTTGTTTGTTATACCTTTCCCATTTCTGACATTACGATTAAACTCAAACCTTATTAAGTTCAGAGTTTAGTTACGTATAAAATCAGTTAGAGAGTAGAGAGTAGCACACTTACTTACATATAAAGTAAGTTAGAGAAAACACAGCACTTTTCAAAAACAGGTTTTTGTTATGCGGGAGCACTTAACATCCGTCTGTAATGTCTATTACACCCTACATTTACTCAATTTGGCACCTTGCAACTTTTTTTTTTCGAAGAATCATTTGCCGAAAAAAAGCGTCTTATGGACCTAAGAACTGTCTGGATAGTTTGTATCGACATTCTAAAGGACATCTTAGCTGAAGATTTAGAACACATATTCAACATCATTTAGGAACGAACAAAATCTTTATTAAGTCAAAAAGAGACGCGAATTTCTGTAGATTTTTTAAATGCAGTGGAAAATTTTTCTGCCTTCTTTTCCGATATATATGAAAATATATCCATATCACTTTAATTAGAACTGTTGAGATATGGGAATTCGAATTCAAAATGTATATATGTATTAATGTTTTAATATTATAAAAAAATATAAAATAAAAACAAAAAAAAATTTTAAATTAAAAATCTATATAGTGTATATATAAAATAAATACAATGTATACAAAATATATACAAAATATTTATATCATATATATTTAATATCTTAAATGTTTCTATATACACATATGTAAATACATAGCATTCACAATTTTTTTTATGCAGTATACATATATTTTTACAATATTGTGTTTTGAAAATTTGATTTGTGAAATTCCATCCAATTTGATTGAGTGAAATTCCATAACATAAATTTCCAAATATATATTATATTTGGAAATTTAAATCTACTAATAGCATATTATTATGGGTATGAATTTAATTTGTCTGGGTTATCTTTCCAAAGAAAACATATGGGTCGTAGTTCTTATGGGTCGAAGTTGTTAATGTTCTTTTAACAAATAATAAATAGTGATAACATAAATCAAGTCTACTTCTTTTATTTGCAACTTGGAATTTTTATTACTAAGATTCTTTTTAAATTCAGCGTAACTAAAATCTTGAGCATTGAAAGTTTGTGCAGCTTTGGCTACTTGTGGATAAAGACGATTAGTCAGCGCTTCTTATATGACAGGCACGAGTTCCAAGCCCAGAATTTGCAGTCCAAACAAATTATATACGTACTATAAACTAATTAAATTCGATTATTTCCTAAAACCACTGATGATGAGCACTTGGCAATACTCGAAACAGCTTTGTATGATCAGCCGAATTTCAATAAATTAAATAAATTTTTATCTCTGTCTTTTCTTTACTATTCGAATCCGTCTAAATTCTTTTTATTTTATCTTAATAAATAATTTCATTTGTACTATAAGTTTCGTGAAAATGGTTATATATATCTAAGAAACCTAAAGCTGTGAGTGTGCAAATAACGAAATAGCGTAGCATCACTTCAACTTCATTTCAATTTCAAAAAGAAAATTGTATTTCATGGTGCATTTACAGAAAACTGCAGCTGTTCTGAATGTATTTTTTGTATATCAAAGCACATTTAAATTTATTAACATGCAGATAGGTAATTTCTATTTTGCTCCTGAAATAGGAATCCAAGTTCACCTACACTTATTTAAAATTTCACTGAGAAATTGCATATTCATGCACATTTCATATTCCGCCAAACAGTCCCGCTCCTGTCGTGTAAGTGAAGACACTTACAAGATGCTCCTGTTTTAGTATTTATAAGCCTTCAACGTGAACTGTAGTAAAACGCAATGTTTATGACGTTTCGCGTTGATTACATATTTTCCACACATTTAGTATTTGCCATTCCTCACTTGTGCCAACCAAAAGATTGGATTTTCAGATTTTCATAAGCTCCATGCTGTGGAGCAATGATTGGTTTTATATTACATTTAGCATTAATGTAAAGTAATGACTTAAGATATTTATGAGTATAAAAGATAAAATCAATATTTTCACGATAACTAACGCATTATTTCATATATTGAGTGTCAGCGGATTTAATTTGCTTAATTTAAGTAAAAAATATTAAAAAATTTTTATCGGAAAAATACTTCAGTTAATTTACTTTAGTTATAAACCATAAAAAATCAAAACTCACTTTTATGAGTTTATTTGAGTTACTCCATTAGAATTTAATTACAATAATTAGCAACAGAAATGGGTTTTAAATTCAGTAGTGAACGTGAAATGGATTAAGTACTACGTCTTACAAAATGCCAACATGACACGATTTATCTATGTCAACATATGTGCTTTTTATTCAAAATGTCAAGAGTTTAAACAAATTCAGTATGTGAATTTGCTAATTTGATATGACTGTGCCAGTTTGTGCTTTCCCTGTAATCTGTAAACAGTTTGCATTTTGTCAACGTGTCCATCAAGATGTCAGGAATTTGAAAAGGGCGAAGAAATCCAATAAAAGAATCACCCATTTTGAGGTGTCAAAAAGCTGCAACGTTTGTCTCTCTGGCTTCTATTTAACCAAAACTGACACGGAATGACAATTCCATATATCTATCTTAAAAAAATTCAACTATGGATGAAAAAAATTGTACATTGAGTATGGAAAAATCGTTTACTGAAATTTGAAACTTAAGTGCAAAAAAAATGCACAACAATAGCAGACGATTTTCGTCAAACGTGACAAAGGAGTTATGACAGGACAAAATGGTCCTTTAACATTTTTTGTCTATAAAAAAATGTAACAAAAAATCTCTACTACCATTTTTTCTGTATTTTTTTATACTTTATTTATTTTTGATATCGTATATCTCACAAAATATTCTTTGTTTTATACAAAATCACAGAATCAGAAACAGAATGAGTGTACTAAATAAATTAAATTTAATACTGAAACTTTAACTAAATACTAATACTAAAATTTAATACTAAAATTAAATAATATTAATATATTGATATAAATATCGTCAATTATGGACATTTACTCCTCATAGGCTCTACTGGCACTAATATATGTAATATAATCAATAAATTGCAAATCAATATATTATAAAATTATATATAATTTTTAAATTAAGCGAGTTGTACTTACGCTAAAAATTATTTAAATATAATATTTTAGATTTTTATAACCTTTACACAGTCCTTTAAGAGAGGGCTGAACGTAGGCTAACGAAGAAAATTTTTATTGGATAACTAACACAGGCACCCTACCTTGAAATATTCCTGATAAAGTTCCGCAATAGAAACGGTGCCACAAACAAGTGGAATTGTTTTTATTTCGTGCTAACCGGGTATACAACTATTGTAACGGCTGTGACTACACGTAGTGACGTTTTCAGACTTCCTTTTTGCAGAAAAGAAAAAAAAATATCCTTCACACAAAAAAGTGTAGAAAAGGAGTAATAGATTTGCTAAGACTTTTGTATCACACAGTAAATACAGGCTTCATTTCATAACTCGGTTTCATTTCAATATCGAAGTTCTGATTCAGTACCAATGCATTGCAAACTATTATTACTGAATATCATTCAAGAGAGAAAATCTAAGAATGACACTCAAAAATGATAGTCTGCACCTTTGAATGACACGCAACCAACACGTTAGAGTGCTCACCAAAATTTCCATTCCAGCTTCTCGTCAACATATTGTAAATGAAAACCTGTCACCCAAAAACTTGTTTTCGTCATTCAAGAGCATATTTTTGCGTGATTGCACTAACACACTTACAGCGTACGCAAACACCATTATTTTTCAAAAATTTTGCTTGAATGACAACCCTTGAATTCCCTACCAAATTTGAAGCTCAGAGTCAATGTTC